ACTTTTGTTAATCTGCCCTGAAAGTCTTAGAAAAAAGCTCTCTCATTCACCACTCATGGAGGAATGCTATTTTGGGATAAAGTATTTGTATATCATTTAGCTCGCATCGCTCCAACAGTGCAAGGGCCGAATGAGCAGAGCACGGGCGTGCCGTTCGAGAGATCCAAGTTCGAGTTTCAAATTAAATTTCTTTATTTTTTAATTAACTAAGAAGAAAAAAATTTTATTTTAATTTCATCTAATCATTAAAAATATTTATTTATTTATTTTTTATAATTATTTTTTCGCTTTGTTTTATTTTTTTATTCTTTATTTTTGTTTAAATTTCGTTTATTTATCATTATTGATTGTTTTAAACAGAAATGATTATATTTTTTTATAAAAAAAACTTATTGCTCAAAGGCGAACAGCATAACGCTAAGACCTCGTCATTAGCAGATCCTTCAACTAGTCTTACGAAAGTAAAGTAAAGAGCTTTCAAGATAGTTGCCAGAATAGACAACTGTATTACCAAATATTTTGTCTTTCGAAAGACTGTTGTAAGTTGAAAGACAGTTGCCAGAATTGCCCTGTTAGGATGACCGGTAGAATAGGTGGATACTTCTGATATTAAAATTGTATGCATTATTACAAAACCCAACACCAAAAATCATGTATGTACTTAATTACTTGCTTGCCAGCCTAAGTTACTAGCGACCAGTGACGTATGAGTGATAAAAATGTTTAGTCTGTAGGTGTAAAACGGCGAAATTGCGAGTCGCTTTAACTTTTTTGTTGATTTATTTATTTGTTGCTAATGTGAAAAAATCTTCGCTTACTAAAACATCTAATTTATGAGCAATAAAGTTTTATGAAGTGTAGTAAAATTTGAGTTATTAGAATTTATTGTGTTTAGTAATTAAAAATATCTTTTTCAACGATATACAATTTCAATGGTGGCTGTTTTTAGGACTGACCAAGGCTGATTATTTGTATTAGCTCTCAAACTCGCAAAGGAAGCAATCAAACCAACTTTTTTTCTGTACAGGAACAAGCCCAGCCTTATGTACATTCACATCTGCTCTTATATGAACTGTCAGCTCTGTGTGCCGCCGCTTCGTTATGCTGATGCTGATGATGATGTGATGCGTTTGCCAATGTCATGGAATTGTTGAGAAACGTTTTATGTCAATCGATGAGGGTGTTGAGGAATTTAGCCGGCCATTAGTCGGATTATTCATACTTGTTCAATAAACGATAATGGCCACGATGTGATATGTGCTAATAATCAGATATTTTTGTACATAGATATCTTTATTCTTATATGTATGCACATACATAAATGTACATATACATATATATATATATAAACTTGATGCAACTGCAAATGTTAAATGAACTTCGTGCCAGAAGTGCTGACCTATGGCTAAAAGCTATCTAGTGTCCGCTGCGGCAAATGAAATCAAAACAAAAACAATAACAAATGCGCAAACAGATGCAAACATATGAATGAATTTGTATGTATTTTTCTAATGCTGGTGACGAGTATCCCAAATCACACATATATAGGTATGTATGTACACTCGTTTGGTATTAAAATGCTCAATGAAACATCAACAAGTAATTTTTAAGCAAACAAGTAATTTTTAAGCAAAAAACAAAACCGACTTCAATTCTTATATACATAAAAAAAAACACATTCCGACGAACTGATAACCTCCTCATTTTTTTTTAAGTCGGTTAATGAATCTGACAACGTTATCTTGATTTCGACGGATTTTTTCGAAGGCACTTATTAGTCAAACATATGTAGATATATACGTAGATACTCGCAAATGAATATGCATACATACATACAAGCTATTGCATAATGCAGCTTTGAATAAAGCATGAATAAATACATTTTAACTTTTAAATTTTATAGCAACATTTATTGCACCAATTTGTCAAATATTGCATTCATATTTGAGTAATTACCCAGCAGCACTTGGGAGTATCGTATGATTGTTCCGTGAGCAATCCCTTGCCCGTTTACGAATACTCCCCATTGTTCCCTATGCTCCTGTGTATAAGCATGTCAGTTTGTATGCCCCCTTTAATATTGTATGTCATAGGAGGGCGAGTAATCCATTTTACCTCCAAAACGAGCCTGCTCTTATAAAACCCGCCGCACATTACTCCCAAACTAGCAAAAATGGAGGAGAAGTAATTCCGCAAAGCAGGGATCATACGATTTGTACATTTTGGCAGTTAGAAACAGTGTTGCCAGAAAAAAATTTCCTTTGGTGCTAACACGGTCGAAAAGAAGAGCTAAATAATACTAATAGTAGCTAAAATGAAGGGCTACATTTTTTCTTTCAGTTGAGCATTATCTATTTATTGGCGTAAAGTTGTTTTTACATTTTTCGCAATTTTAATATAAAAAGCGAGTTTTATAAATTTAAGTGCTGAAAAAAACCAAAGCAATAAAATGAATGAATATACTTATATAAAGCTACAAAAAAAAAAAGACAATGTACTAAAAATACTTTACAAACTGTTAAAATCTGCAATTTCAGTTGCTTGAATTGACCATAAAACCTCGGCTTACGAATCACTTTTTCGGAAATTTTTTCTGAAAAGTTTTGGTTTTTTCTCTCCTTAAGGTAAAATTAGTAAGGTAGATATAAAATCCGTGCTTTCAGAAAAAGGATTTTCTTCTAATTAATTTTTGAATTCTTTAACCTAAATGCAAGAGTTTATTGCGGAGTCTGTATTGTCCTGTGGTGACAAATGTATGTTTTTCCACTGCATTTCAAAATTAGTAATTTTATCAACGCCTAAGTTTTGGCGTTCCTTTTCTACCGAATTACTGCCCGCTATAATTTGTGTGTTCTTCCTCTTCTTTTATGTCAAATTCACGATGTCGCTGCCGCGTTCAAAAAACATGTCGCCATCAATTAAGAGTTTAGATAATGAAGATACCAAATTGGAAGCTGTGGCCCGTAGCTCGTCGTTTTCAATGTGTTAAGCACTTAATGCCCAAAAACGTAGTACGTATGTTTGTATGTATGTATGAGGGCAAATTTTAATGTTTACAAATTTTTATTTTTTTTCAGTGAAGGTGTTTTAATTCCTAAACATTGGCCTCAATGTGCCAGCTATAAACATTTATGCATGCGGGCACAGTAGGTCTGTACATATGTACATCCAGATACATACATACAGTGAATACATATACATATGTAGACATGTAAAACGCTTTCACTTCTCAACAGCTACAACAAGTTTTGCTGCAAGCAAATGTGTAACAGAGCACTTCCGTTTTCACTGAGAATCACAAGGATATTTATTTCAAAGTGTGCATACATTTCACGTTCAACATTAGTGAAACTTGATTCATTGCTGCAGGCGGCTTATGTGTTTTAGATACATACATATGTACGATGTACATTCTACGTATGTACATACGTGCTGGCTGCATCATAATAGGGATTTGTCTATAATATCAGGGCAAATGTCGAAGTGCCGCAATTTCCAATATTGCTTTCAGAATTGTCAGCAGGATCTTCTGTTTTAATTTAGATTTTAGCATGCCAAAGAATTTAGATTTTTATTAAATCGATGTACTTATAATAAGTTCAGCGCTCTATCGAGTCATCACAAGCTGCTTTATGTTTATGGAAAAATTATGCTACTTAAATTGTCATTCAAAAACCAAATGCCATGCCAATTTTTTTTTTTTATCATAAAACAGCGTCTCCTCCTTGCAGCGTATCCGCAAATGACCTGAGCGCATTTGACCATCGAAGGAAAAATTTAATGTTCGAGTAAATGCATTCATTACTATTTCGAGAATGGCGCATTGAACTTATTGAATGAAAATCTTGCGACTGTAATATGAAATGGATATGGGAAATAAGCTTTTAGAAAAAGAACACCGTTGTGGTTAAAGTTTACATATGTACATACATATATATATATGACACAAGAAGTGCTCGAATGCAACCCCCTTTGCATTTATGCACTTACTAGTGTATGGAAATTTAATACCTTCTTGTTTTTTTTAAGCAAAACTACCAATTCATGAGCAAATATATCCTTTGGTTTTGTCACGATTTGTGGTAGAACATGTCGCTCAGAATAATGAAAAAATTAAGTGCAAAATTTATTAAAAAGGGGAATTAAAAACTGAGGACCAATCACGCTGTTAAGCTTACAGTGGTGGGTAAACTCATACACACTACTTCCTCGTACAGTGGCGATCAGAAGTAGATGAATGGAGTTTAGGTTGTAATATTTACAATGCTTTTCAAGCTATAATTCTTATGATATTTTTTTATAAAAATAAATTTCGAGCTTTTAAACCAGAAGTTTTAGAAATTTTTGCGTATGCAGTTAACGAGCTTATAAAATTCTGGTAAAATGAGTGCAAGCTTAGAGCTTCTATAAATTAGCATTGATTTTTAATATTTTTTTTTGCTCACGGCTTTTGCGGTTTTTTTTCATATAAATAGCGAAATTTAGTAAAACTGGGCTTGGCTTTTGGAAAAAAGTGCAAAACGCCGTCAGCTGGAAATTTAGATAAAAATTTGTGAAATTTTCCAAGCTCTGCACAAAATTTGAAAGTGTGATTTATATAGTTTTTGTTAAAGCATGAACCATGGTTTTATAAAAAAATATGAAAAAAAATTAGCTGGAAAAATATTCGAACTATTAAAAATGAAGCACCATTCATCAATTTTTGACCGCCACTGTATGTAGTTAAGAAAAAAATAAATTAATATACATACATAGAAATGCAGGCACGGCAGATAGTTGTTGACGCTGCACAGTGGGCCATGAGCGGGGTTAAAATTTTTTTATGTTGGACAGATTCACCGGTTAGATATCTACATATATATGTAGTGGCCACCTGATAAAATATTAAATTCAAAAAGTTAAATAAACTATAACAATATGAGTACCTATCAACCGCAATGATTTTGAAAAGCATTTATTTCTTAACTGAATGTAGTGGGGATGCCACCTGTTTAAAAAAGATTAATAAACTTGAATTTAGGAGATTAGGTATTCGACATACAGTTAAGTTATGGGTCTCAAATGAAAGTGTGTTAAATAATCACTAGTTTGAACATTTAGACTTTTTTGAGGAGTTTGAGGGGATTGCCACCAGTTAAAAAAATTAAATTCAAATTATTTAAAAAGTTAAATGATTTATTAAAAGATGGGCAGCCATCAAAATGGGTTTGGAAAGGATTTATTTCTGAACTGTAGTTAGGATAGTTGACAGTGTTTAAAAAATCAAATCCAATTTAATTTCAAAAACGACATTTGTGTAAAATAAAAAAGCTGGGCCTGTTGATGTGCAACAAGGATTTTATGGGTTACAACTTTTTTTTAGTGGTACAGGCTGATTTGAAATTCGATGAAATATAAAACCCTCTCTTCACTAAGTACATGTTTTGAGGGATTTAGATGAAACATTGAGCCTTGCCATGAGTTTCATTTTCCCCGAACCGGTTCACTTTTCACTTTTGGTTTCCATGGCTTTACTATGGGCGGACGACAAATTTTCGGGAGAATTTTTTTCAGGCGAAACCCAGGATAAAGCAGATTTAAAAAGTTCAAATGAATTTAGGCGTTTTAGCGCTATGCGGATTTAAGTTTATTGGTTATACTATGTACAGCCTTTGGGTGATGCGATTTTACAAGATTGGGCAGTAAATAAAATTTCAAGCCAATAAGCAACGGGTCTGTACGAGAGTGGT